TCATTATTCAGCAAGGCTACTATTGTAGATAAACTAAATATATGAATAGAGATCTGCTTTTGCTCTGGTTGAACCAGTAACCTGATTTAGATGAATAGGTAGGTACAGTCTTGCTCAGATTTTGTTTCAGTAGGCATAAATACAAACCTGCATCTCAGCTATTCTCTCATGCTCTGATTCAGTAACGAGAATACAGCATGGGATTTTTGCACCTTACAGTGTGTACTTGGTAATTCAAAAGCCAAAAAAGTTGGTTTCAAGTTTATTTCCTTTTAATCCCAAGAGCTGTAAGAAATTTAAGATTAGCGTTCCTTGTTAATGGCTGGCTGAATGTCTGTTTTAGGAAGTAATATTGTTGAGACATATCAGTAATATTTAATTTTGATACTAGGTTTTAAATTGCCTCCTACAATATTTTATAATTCAACTCACTAAGGAACTGGGGCAGAAATAAGAGCTGAAAAATATAACAAGAACAAAGTAACAAGCTTGTATTTTTTCACTGTTTGTGAAGTGCAAAATTTTGATATGGGTGTAGGGGATCCCATTTGTATATTAAAATCTTAGTTTGGATTAATTACAAAGCCTAAATCATTTTTAATAAATTATGTTAAAACTGTTGATGTAATAATTCTATAATCTTTTATTCAGGTTCACAAAAAGGATAAAAAGTACAAATGTATGGTGTGCAAGAAGATTTTCATGCTAGCAGCCAGCGTTGGAATAAGACATGGATCTCGGCGTTACGGTGTTTGTGTTGACTGTGCAGACAAATCTCAGCCAGGAGCGCAAGAGGGAGTCGACCCGGTACAGGACACCGATTTTCCTAGAGATGAAGAGTTTGAAGAAAATGAAGTAGGGGAAGCTGATGAAGAGCTACCTGATGATATAGAAGAACAGAATGACCAGACTCGGTGGGATGAATCTGGGGAAGTCTGTGTGCCTTTAGAAGACTGAGGGGATTTGATCTTATAGATGCTTTATTTTGACGTCATGCAGACTGACCATGTTGAATTTTTGGACTGAAGGCTTGGAAAAAATATGGTACAGGCTGGATGAAAGTTATGTTGCTGTGAAAATTATAGGGTTAAAGCCTTATAGCAAAAAAAGGATTATTAATTTTTTAAAGATATTTGCACAGGGCTGTACAGCATACAGTCATTTGGTTGAATTATATAGAGTCCTCACACCTACAGTCAATTATCAAAGTAAAATGTATTTTTATTATTTATAGGATATTACTATTTGGGTCCTAATCTGGCATAGTACTTAACTATGCCTGTGTTAATCATTCATGTCTCTTAACATGGGTGAAACAAATTGCAATTTTTGGAGATGGCTCCCTTGATTCCAATCATAGTTTTTGAACAAAAGTGGCTAGTCTGGCATAGTGGCTTGCGTTTCCTAAAAGGAGGCTTTACCTCACCTCTCTTGCCATTGCCCTTCCCCCAATAGTTTAAATATCCAGCTTCTGGATGACATGAATCTGTGTCACTTAATTTTGTCAGGATATGGTAGCTGACAAGTCCTGGAAACCTAATCACTGATATTTAATTTCCTAAGTTACTAGGTTTCAGTACTTCTGAGTTTGCAAAATGCTACAGCTCTTTCACCAAATGTTAATAATGATTTAAAACTGCAAGGAAGATTGTGATTGGAATGAAAGAAATTTCTCCTTGTCACTTAAAGAACTTTATGTTAGACACTTTTTGGCGTGGCTGCCCATATTTTAATTTATGTTTTTGTTAGCACTATTTTATTGGCTATTACTTTTATTCACTACTGTATACCTCAATCCATCACAAAGCTTAGAGTCCTAGAATTTGAAAAGGAGTGTAATTGATATTTTTTTATTTTAATAGTCCAGCCCAATTTGTCTGCTTTTGTCTAGTTTTTGTTATGTGAAAAATTAGACATAAGGCTGTCTATTTTTTGTGCCCCTTTGCTTTTCATTAAAGTAAACACAAACTGAATCTTTGCTTCTCTCCTATTTTGGGGGTTCTTTTATATACCAAACAAACTACGTTTAACTTGGCAGCTTAATTTGCTGGAACTTCTTTTTTTTAAAAAAGAAAATTGTTAGTATAATTACTGGAGCTATTTATCCCCAATGCTCTTTGCTTCTGTTTTGGGATGAGACCTTGAAACTTGAATTTTTGTAGCCATAAATCTTTTCTAAACTTGTTATATTGTACCAATGATTTCAGGCCTTTTTTTCTGAGGGAAGGGAGGGTATTGCACCTTTTTTATGCTTAGAATTCAGCTTCATCTAGCCTGAATGCACGTGAGCTACCTGAAGTTTAGACACTGCATTCAATATATTACTATGTCACAGTGAATAAATATGCACAGCATTTATCATAATACATAGCTAGGCCAGTGTGACAGTACTGTATTATAAGTTGAGGGTCACCATATTTGAGTTTATTAACTTTAAAATGAGTATATTTTCCTATTTTATATCTGCGAACTAAATTATGGTAGTTGTGTGGTAAACTTAATTGCTTTGACAGATAGAATCTTAATGGTGCTCCATCTGTTCAAAGTTTATATATATAAAATATATATATATAAAATATATTTAAAGAGACAGCTTTATTATCCCTTATTTCAATACAACAATGGATTAATGTTAGACACTGTTTCTGCTGGATGAAACAGAGACTGAATCATATGGGTATTAAATTGTATAATCTTTTCTATCCAAATACATCATTGGTAGATTCCACATCACTGTAAACCTAACAGATAAGTAGTTCTTGGGTTTTGTTTTTAAGAACTGAAAACATCTTATTCTCTTCTAGACTGAAATGAGTTATGTGTAATTCTGTTGGGGTCCAAAGTAGAAAATAGTGGGGAAACATAATATGAATGGGAAGTATTTTAAACGTTAAGTAAATGTTCTGCTCTGTGAATATGTAAGTTATAGTATAAAGATTTCTTCCATCCCATTTATTCCCCATAAAATAGTTTACAATTGATCTACCTATCTTGTCCGAAAATCACCTAAATCTGCTTTATTATAACATACTATTCACTTAATGCTTAAACTGGACCTGGCTTTCCATTCTTAATGTATTTTACTTACTCTCTTGAAACCGAATCTCCTTTTGCTACTTAAATCATTTGTGTATATCTGGTAAATTATGACCAAATCTGTTGTTAGATTAAATGCAGTAAATTGAAATATACACTTGGTACACTACAGAATTGTTGTGATTTGTTCGGGTTATCTTTTTAAAAAAATATGGAGACATATTCAGGATTTTTTGTTGGCTTTGGATAAATTATTGTGCATTTTGCATCTCTAGTAAGGATTTTTTTAAAGTTACATCTTAAGTGTGGCGTTTTGGCTATTCCTTTAACAAAACATAAGCATTATCAAAATTACTTTCTCAAGGAAAACTGTTGAATTTAAACAACTGATACCCCATGGTAGTTGTCTCTACATTGATCTTTTTATTGGTTATGACTAATTGGAAGAAAAATATTGGTAATTTATATTTTGGAAAAAGTTCTTTATAAACCAGAGATTAAAAATAAGTTATTGTTGAATCCTAACTTCCACGTCAATCCTCAAATTGGCTTAGATTTCTGGGGGTTACATTCTGCATTGCTATTAAAAACCAATCCATCTAGTATCTTTGTTGACGCTGGATTTGGACTATTGCTACTATTAAGCAATTTTTCAAAATAGCTTCAGGCAAGTAGCATGTTTATTTAAGCAAGCTTTATTTCCTAAATACACTGTTATGGTATGAAAATGTACATAACTAAAGCAAAATATAGTAATTTAAAAATTTACGTGTGAATATATGAAGCATAATAAAAAAATAAAGTCCATAGTTTAAAATTTATTTACTGAATACAATTTAAGAAACTGCAAGAAAAAATGTAGATGGTACCTCTTCAGTCTCCCTCTCCTAAGGATATGTGCCTTAGTTTAGCTCTGGACTTTGTTTATAGCTTTATAAAAATGGCATTATGCTTTGCTTAGACTGGCTACTAGCCTTAAAATCACAAATTTGCTTACCCACTTATTTTTTTCAATCAAATTAGTTTATATAAGCCCCTTTGAATCTCAGTTTTCCTTTATACATGTCTGCAGGGCTTTATAACATTTTAAAATATATTAAATACTTTTTGTAAATGTGTATTGTTTTAGCACCTAATAGAGCATGGTATGCTTCAATTTATGCAGAAGTATACAATAAAATCCACCAGCTCTGTCTAACTGGATATGGACGCTGCTAAATATTGTTAAATTGAACATTCTGAATCATGGATCACTATCTTTTTTTTGAAAAATTGTGTTTTGTCTGCCAGAATAACCTGGGAACTCTTAATATGCATCCCAAACAGCAGTCTTAATTTCTATACTCTTGTCTAGATTTTGACATATTCATAATCATGTATGTTTTGTTCATTAGCAGATAGATCAAGTAGAACTGCTAAAAGGAGTAGTACGGTTAGGCAATTAATTAGGGCCGGGGCAGGGAGAGCTTCAGTCGTAGCAACTTGCCAAATGAACAGAAATGTAAAGCCCAATGATTTAATATAAACCCTTTCTCAGCTTGATAGTTCATGCATTTGTGTGCACAAAAGATCAGCTGAAACCACCTGTGAAGAAAAACAGGAAACAGGAGAAGATCTATGAAGCAGCCAAACAGAATATTTAGCATGATATAGTCCTGCTTGCAAAGTTGTGGGAATTGAAGTGCCCTGCCAAATTATTTGCATGGCTATGCTAAGTAATAGATTCTCTACTGAATTGATGCTATAGAAAGAATTGTGTAAAATACATAGAACAGTAAGTGGCACTAAGCTCTTCTCTTCATACTGCTGTCCATAAACAAAAGGCTTAGATTTCCCCTCTTTATAAATGGGTTAATTTGGACTCAATGTCTGCTGAATTCAGATGGCACTAACCATTAGAGATATCGTGAAGAGTTGATGAATCTGATCCTTTATAGGAAGAAGAATATCGAAAGACTTCTGACTTTTAAAAAAGGTAATTTATTTTCTCTTTGGTTGATCATGAAAACATTGCACAGATTTGTTGTATGCTGAACATAATCATGTTGAAAATACCATGCAAGCCCTATTTTTTCACTGGTACTAACACTGGATAATTTCTTTTAATATTTGTATCTATACAAATGCTTAAAATGTTTTCTAAAGCAAAAAAACTAGTTTATCTTCAAATATTTCTGTAAGATTTTTTAAAAAAATAGTACCATGTATAAAATACAACTTCCCGATTTAAAGAAACTTTTCAAAGAAATGATATTATATATGGGAAAAATTAATTACTTTTCAGCTTATTAGTTCATTAAACTACAGTTTGTTGTTAATATATTGGAGATCACTCTTCCTTCTGAGGAATAGAGGCCATATTAACTTCAGATTTCAAGTTGTTGAGATCACACGACAAGCTATAAACATGGTCATGCAGAAAACTGATTTCCTTGTGGTTTTCAGCAATCTGTAATAGGAAAAAATGTTAATTCTGAATATTGCAATAATTGTACTAAAATTAATCTATTTTGAATTATATATGTAATTCTGAGATATCTGACACAGTGACCTGGTTTCAGCAAAATACAATGTACTGTAGAAGCTCAGAAAAATAAATGTTTTTTTCAGGAGCACCTACACACTCCTTCAATAGTACCTGAAGAAATCAGCATTTTGAAGAAATATTTGAAAACAAATTTCTAGCTGCATAATTTTCTCATGTCTAACATTAAGGTCCATAAGTAGGGACAGAAATATGAAAAAGGGTTCTAGGAACAGAAATCAGGAATGGCTGCTAAAAATGGGAAATGCTACTTTTGTCTGAGTAACAGCATGACATTCAGATTCTGCTCTTGTTTCACTCTGCCTTCATCAGGTCCATTTGGAATACTGCATCCAGTGCTGGACCCCACACTCTGAAGAGATAGGCAAATTCTTGGGAGAGTTACCAAAATGGCTTAGAATTAAATCTTACACGGAACCTGGATGTGTTTAACTTGTAAAATAGAATACTGCAACAAGACAGAATAATCTTTAGCTATCTGAAGTATTGTTACATAAAGAAGGGAGTGGACTTGTTCTCTTCTACTGGATCCAATTACTTGGACATTTTTAGATTAGACTTCATTTATTAGCTTTAAATTCCAGTTTAGGAACTCTTTGCTAAGAGTTGTCAGCTGAAGTACATTCAGCTGAAGTACATCTGAAGTACATTTCATTCAGTGCAAGTCTTCAAACAGGTTGAATAGCCAATTCTAAATTCTGTAATGGATCTAGTACAGCACAAAAAGATGGAATAGACCGTTCCTGTCCTTTTCTGAAAGTTTGGTTGGATCCTTAACAATTTTTATCATGATATATGCTTTCAGAGGTTATAGTACTATTTACTGAATTTTATGCACCAAGATTTTAGTCCAAAAACCTTGTCATAATACTTAACTGCTATAAGGGTTTTTGAAGCCAAGTCCTAGAATTTGCTGCTATAGTTGTTAGAGGTTTACAAAATTGGAAAAAAAGATGGAACTTTCTTATTGTGAAATGGAGTTATCTATTCTTCCAAAACATTTAATAAAAGCATTTCTTAAGAATAGTGGGGGTGGCAGAAAGGTCTCTTGAGGGAATCCTTTTTGTGGAACTGTTATACATGCATGGAAGGCCATCTTTAATATGGTTTGTTGAATTGCTAACCATGGCTTAAACATTTAACATTTTTATATCTTTACCATTTTGTTACATGTTTTCCTGGTAATTTTATGGAATGGCAATAACAGCCCTCTACTTTCAGCTATAATCGTGATAGTTTTCTAAAAATGCCTGACAAATCTTGGCTATTAAATTTTGTATCAAGGCAAGCTAAATTCTGCAACGTATATAAAGAAGCAAACAAAAAAAATATTTTCTTATTCTAACAACTTTCAAAAAGGACAAAGTTATGTTGAGTCACTAAAATGTATGTCTTTGATCGCTATGAATCTGAGTCTTTGATTTTCTGAATGTTTTGCCTACCAATCACATTTTATTACAAAAGTAGTTGATCATTGAGTGAAAAGTCATCCTTGGCATCATGCGGAACTGTTTCCTCAAATTAAACAAAATCTTAATGAACTGTTTTAATTAATAGGAGTTAGGAGTTAGTTTTTATAATTAATTAATTTTCCCTTCCCTTCAATAGCTCAAAACATCATACATACATACATCATACCTTTTCCAGATACCCTCTACACACACACACACACACACGTTTGTAAATTCGTTTGGGCTGAGAATGACTGATTTAAAATGTCTGCGTGAGCTTCCATGGCTGACCTTAACCCCTACATTTGTGTGTCAAGGAAAAAAGCAACAGACGCTAAAGCTAGAAGAAAAATGAAGCCTTCTACAGATGCTAAGAAAAGCAGGTTTAATGAGCTGCTTGTTATTATAGCAACAAAATATTCACTGGTGAGAGAAGTCTGTGAATCTCACATTATCTGTAATTCTGCAGTATGATGACCTTCAATGTGACAATTCGATCAGGACTTCAGTAAGGTTCTATTAATAAAGAGATTGACAAAAACAGTGTACTGTGTCATGTCTTTATTGAATATATTAAGCCAACATTCACTGACTATTCTGGAAAAAGTTTGTAAGGCCCTAGAACAAGCAGTTTTTCAACTGTTAACTTTAATGAAATGACAAATCAGATCTGTGTTTGGAAGGCTCTCCCACAAAAGATGGTGCACAAATATTGGCTCCATCAGCACCTATTTATGAAACAGGTTTGTGAAAGTGAAACTTGTCTTGATCCAGAGATCTCTATGGACCTCAAAAAAAAAGATTATTGAGGGTCATATTAGAAAATCTTTATCAAACTTGGTTTCTATCATCCACATCATGCAGTTAATGATAATTGTATCCTCTATTGTATATATGCTGTTCTTTTCATAAATGGCTGTTCAAGAAAAGTCACTTCAAGATCAAGAAGCTATCTCTGGACCAGGATAACTTTTTAGATACTAAGTTCCATTATCTGCATATTACCAGTTTCTACAAGAGAATGTCTCTGTGTCTCTATGAGCCAAAGCCTAAGCAAATATGAATCATGCAGTACAAAACTGATCCTAAACACATCTACAATGGATGCAGAAGAATGTGTGCATTTTGGAATTGTTTCTCTAGCCCAACTGAAATGGTATAGCAGAACTTGAAGTGAGTAGTTCACACAGCCTCAAAACATCAATGAGCTGAAGTAGTTTTGTAAAAAGGAGTGGGCCAAAATCTCACCCCACCCCAAGAGAGAAGTTTATTATTAGTTTTTAGATCAACTTCAGCTCACGCTGCAGGTCATGTACTGCAGAATTATAAATGGTTAAACTTTTGTTATTGCAAGTTATATAACTAAAAAAGCCTCAGGTCATTTCGTAAACCTGACATATACTATAATCCAGCATCCTTTTCCCCAACTACACGCCTCTGAAGGAAATCCAGCAGAACACAAATATTTTGCTCTTTCCTTATCCTGGCATCTCCTATTCAATGGTATGTTATCCTGGAACATGAAGATCCCAATAACTGCCATGACTAATAGTAATCATTGATGATCCTCCTTTGAAGCAGTTTAACCCTGACTAATGAATTTTGTAATCTTAATTGTTAAGATTACTTAATCTTAACTGTTTAAATTCAAGACAGGAATGCATAGGTTATTTTTGCTCTTCCCCCTGCATGCTCACAGAATTGTATCTGGCTCTCTAACTGCAGTTTTCATAAATATTTTATTCTGAGTCATAACCAGTCATTTACTTCATTTTATATTAGACATTATTAAATATGGGAAGCCAATTACAGAAGTTCTAGTTTTTTTTCAAAATGTCAAAAGCATAGAATGCAATTAAAAAGGTATGTTGCTTAAGATACCTGTTTGTGTATTTGAGAAATACGTTCCACCCAATGATTTTTCTCTCTTCTCAGTTTAGAATTTTCCAGCTCCACTTTGGTGTGTTGATTTTCTAAATCAATTAGTTGTGTATGAAGATGTTGCCTTTTGTGATCCATAGATTTTCTTTCTTGTAGATGAAGTAACTATTTGCAGTTATTTTGAAATATATTAATTAGTGTCTAAACCTCAATTTCATTTAAAAATGTCTAGTTAATTGACATGCTTGCATTATAGGCTTCCTTGATTTTAATGGAATAAGGAAGATTGTTCAGAAAGGATATATTTACATTTATTTTACATACATGTTACATTTACTGGCAATTCCTACAACAACATTGTAGACAATGATTCAAAGACTATCTTAATTCTAGCCTTAATTATGCTGGTATAATTATATACAATCTTAAACACACTTCATGTATGGGTGAATTGATATGCCAAAGGAATATAATCCTTTTCAGATTGAGGAAAACTCTGTCAAATAGCATACTTTCCACAAAGTGAGAGCAGGATAAAAACTAAACTTGTTTTAATTTAAATTTAATTTTGACACTGCAAAATCCAAGGGATACTACTAGAATTTCCTACTAAAAAAAGGGAATGTATATTGGCTTTTGTGTTTGGGTTTAATTAATTAATTTAACAAATTTATTTGTCAACTTTTGCCCATCTCACAAGTGACTCTAAAATGAGGTAATAAATACTAAAGCAACATTATAAATATTATTAAAATCAACTATAAAAGCTGAAAATATGATAGTAATAATGTAGCCACCTTACTAATTCACCAGTTGCCTCGAGGTCTCCACACCTCATCCAGGTTTAAGGGATCTTCAGAAAGTCAAAAGTTATAAAACTAGCCTCACCTTGGGGATAACGATATTCCATAGGGCAGTAGCCACAGGAGAGAAGTCCTGTTGCCTAGAGTCTGCCAAATGTAGCACTCTAGCTAAAGGGACTCATAGCATGCCCTCTGTGTTGGATCTGGACACATGAACACATGTAATTAGGGAGAGGTAATCCCTCAGATAGCTAACTCCATGGAATGTAGGTCTTTAAAGGTCAAAAACAGCACCTTGAAATTTGATCTGGAAATAAACTGGCAACCAATGCAGCTCACCAAGCAGAAGTTTAACCTGTGTTCTACTAGGAACACACATAACTAACATATTTTACACCAATTGAAACTTTTAGGTACTCTTCAAGGACAGAACCATGTAGAGCAGGGGTGTCAAACTGGCGGCCCAAGGGCTGGATACATCATGCATTGGCCACGCCTACAGCTCTGTGAATGTGAAAAACATCCTGAAATATCACATGACAGCAATATGAAACCGCGAGTTTGACACCTGTGACGTAGAATGCATTATTTGCAGCAATCCAAATCGGTGACTAGTGACTATGAGGAGATGCCCTCAACATAGGAACAGATGCAACTGGCACACAATGTGAAGGCCCTTCTAGCTACAACTGCCACCTGCTCTTAAAACAGGAGTCATGATTCTAGAAGGACCGTAGATTGTCAAGCTGTCTGTCTGGGACAGCGTATCCCCATCCAGCATCAAAGATGGCATAGTTGTAAAACCAGTGGGTCCAAAAAACCAGAACCACCCAGTCTTAACCACAAGCCAATCCCCGCCCCCCCCATCCAGATGCTCAGAGCCTTCAGGCACTGGGATAGGTCATATTCTACCAATGGAATTTGAATTACATAAAATATTGTTACAACCTGTTCCTGAGCTTTAAGAACTTTCTGTTTTAGGTTTTGTAACAGAGTCTTCAAGTGGGTGAGTTTCCGCTTAAGTTGCCATGTTTTCTCTCTTCCTGATGCTAACTCAGACACTCTTCTTGAATAGGAAGATGTCTCCTCCTCTCTCAGCTGCCTTTCCTACAGCAATTATATGAGTTAGTGTATTAGTAAAAAGAATCATGGTATCTGTTCCCCTGATGTGCTACGGCTATTTCTCTTCTTCACATAATTGTTATAAGACTGCAAATAATTAAATATCTACCATTTCTTTAAAGAAAAAAGAGTATGTTGTACATGCACTAGCACTACCTTGTCTGTAGGAAAGGGGTGAATATCTAGGAATATAGACATCATATAGGCATCAAACTAATTTCAGTCTTCTCATGCAAGAGATCAACTCAGAATTTGGTAAGAATTATTTTATTCACTGCTGCATGGAAGATAGAGGTTGAGAGACAAGGTATCAGAAAGAATTGAGTTCCCGATCACTGAATCCTGAAAATATGAAGCAATGGTTTTGGAAAATAGCAGTAATAATGTGCTGCTGATACAACTCCTAATCCATAAAATTCCTATTACTACTTTTCCAATCACAAGACATAATAGAATTCCTCTAAGAGTCCTCTGTTATTTTAGCCTTTATGGCTATTACTATAGTAAAATTCTTCAGATTTATAAAATTCTGTTATGTACTTGTGCATGGATCTGTCAATCAATGTTCTGGAAATTCATAATTTACAAAGAACACCAAATATTGGACTGAATTTTTTTGTGTGGTTTCTTTTAATTTTTTCAAGATTGGAATCTGAGGAACAGATGAGGCCTACCTGGTTTAGATGCTTGGTAATTTTCTGTATTTGAGCATGTAAAAGACTATTCTCCTTTGTCAGATGTCCACAATCTTCTGCCATCTTGTTGAGCAAATACTTATCTTCATCAGCTGAAAGCTCATTTTCCTTGAGGATCTGCCTTAATTTTTCAGCTTCCTCACTAAGTATAAATCATTTTAAATATTAGCTATCATGGGTCATTCAAAAATAAGATTCTTTTTTATTTCTATGCTACCACTATCTCTCCTGATTTTATAACTATACTATGCTATGCCATAGAGGATTATGCAGAAATGCTTAACTATCCAGTGTGAACAAGAGATACTGAATAGTTCTGAAAATATTAAAAGGTGGATAACACAAATGTCTTTACCTAAGTTCCTTAACAATAGTCTCTTGTGGAGATAGGGAGCTCATTGATAATTTCTCTTCTAAGCGATAGAGCAATGCTTGCAGTTGTGTGCACTGTGATCTGAGTTCTGAAAGGTTTTTTTCCATGTCTTGGTACTGCCAATTCTTCTGCTGACACTAAATAAAACATATAATAAAATGAATGCTAAATATTCCCTTCCCTCAAGAATCATTAAGGATTCTCCTGGTGAGAGTATAGAGCAGGGGTGTCAAACTTGTGACAACACATTGTCATCATGGGATGTATTGCAACTCCCCCCCTCCTTTCGCTAAACCTGGAGTGGGCGTGGCCGGTGTATGATATATATCGGCCGTGGGCCGTGAGTTTGACACCCCTGGTATAGAGTGATCCATCTCTAGCATAAGGAATATACATTTATTATCTGTTGCTTATATAGCCTTTAGAAACTAACCTTCCAGATTGCCCATTTGTTGTCAGATACTGCATTTATCATAACTAGCATCTATGCATCTTGTTTCTTGTCTTTAAACCAAATTTCACCAGATTTTAATTCCAGTTTTACTAAAATGGGCACTCACTGCTGGAGGAGGTTGATAGGGTAAGAAAACGTCATCCCTGTCCATAATTCTAGAAGCAATATTCATTTTAATACTAGAGCTAGCTCTGAATAATATCAATTTTAATCAATTTTCATTAGAGCAGACATGAACATGAATTTTAATGCTCAAGGCTTCCCATTAAACTAATGAAGGCTGTTGTTTCATGACAAGACTAAAGGCTTAATTGACAGAGAGCACTGACCATTTCATAGAACTAAAGTTCCAAAATCAATTTTCAGGAACTAAGAAATAATAACATAGGTTTGATCTTCAAATAATCCGAGTCAGAAATTTTTACTTTATGTATGAGTAGGTCTACATAATGACCAAAGTTTTCAGAATTATATATATATTAAAGTTTGTACTTCAGAAAAAAAAATGGAATTATATTCTTCAGAAATATTTGGATTAGCAAAAGCATGCTGAAGATACATAGTTTAAATAATTATAGGTAGGTAATAAATACATATTTTCACTTTTAAGAAAGAATTGTCTATTCATCACTAGTCTCTCATTTTAAAATTAAAATTAATTCAACGATATATGCCTCTAACATAGCAATAACTCTTTCACAAATGCATTTGGTAAATGTCTTAACTGCAATAGCTTACTTTTGATTCCAAAAGACAGACAGCATGTTCTTTTTCTTTCACTGAATTCACATTCTCTTGAATTTCTCTCTGAATTTTTAGCAGTTCTGCTTCTTTGTGTGAAATGTCCTGGGTAGAGCGTTCAACCATTTTCTTCAGTTTTGAAAGCTCCTCCATTAATAGCAGCTTTTCTTTAGCACTTGTATCTGCAGGAAATCATCAGGATCGCTCCACACATTTAAAATACGCCTGGTCTTTCTGTAAACATCTATTTCCTTTCTTGTATGACTGTTTAGTTGAATTATGACACTAAGCCTCCAGATGTTTCTGAGGTTGGGATTCTTAAAGTACTTATTAGGAAAGATAACTTACTGAAACAAAGCAGGGCTTACGTCCAGATAAAACATGCTTATAGTATGTGAAAAATGGAAATAAACAATTTTTGAATTGCTGCAGCACCTTATGTGCAACTTCTTGAAAATCACTAGGCTATTTTTGTTGTGTAAATACATACACAATATGTACAGAGTTACGTGTTTGTATTTTAGTGACCCTCAATCCAGGAAGATAGCTAGACAGCTTTGCACTCAAAATCTTGGAGCTCTATTTCCTTTTCCTTTTGCCTGGATTACTTCTTCCAACAGCAATGCAAATGGGAATTCTGGCTCTAGCAATCTGAGTCTCAATGTCCCCCATTATTGTGGTTTTACTGGGAAGGGAAATATCAAATTATGATAGGGTTTTTTTTTATTATAAAAGAGGTTGAGGGGCACTAGTAAATTCAGCCATGAATGGAGAATTCTAGAGCAGCAAGCTTGTACTAGGGAAGTCTCCCTCTCATGGGAGAAGTATAGCAGATGTTGTTTAAAAAGTTTTAGAAAAGAACATTTGGTGCCTTAATCCAGCTAACTACCTAAGAAAGGAAAGTTGTATGAGAAGTGAGTGGATAATCTTAAACAAGGCTTACAGACTGGCCCAATTTAGTAGTTTATAAACCATGATTTGGGATTGTAATGCAACATGGATTGATAGCATCTGCTCCAAAATGGGTATTCTAATAGACATCAAACAAATACTTGTATTCCCTAATCTAGAAAATGTTGGGAAGCCAGAATTACTACACTGTTTAGAGCAGTGGTTCTCAACCTGTGAGCCGCAACCCCTTTGTGGGTCGAATGACCCTTTCACAGGGGTCGCCTAAGACCATCAGAAAACACATATTTTCGATGGTCTTAGGAACCGAGCCATAATTTTATGGTTGGGGGTCACCACAATATGAGGAACTGTATTAAAGGGTCACGGCATTAGAAAGGTTGAGAACCACTGGTTTAGAGTAACATTTTTCTTTCTCTTTATCCTCTGGATTTATAAACATGTTCATAAAAAAAGACAGCTTTGTTTGTTATTACAAGTGTGATTGTAACACAAAGCTCCTGTGTCTTGTAAAGCCAGATTTCCCCGATTTCTGATAATCCATTATCAGAATATAGAATATACTCACATTCTGTACTGCAATACAGAATAAGGCTATATTTTAGATAGTTGTTTACAGATATATACATTCAACAGTGATCCAGTTCATATTCATAAATTTAGCTTAATAGCAAGAATGACACCCCACAAGAAGAGTTTTTCATTACCAGACAGTATTTGAAGACGTTTGTGCATTGCTTGAGTTTCAGTTTCATAATGCTTGATGCTATTTTCTTTCTTTGCTATATCTGTTTCTGTTCTGTTTATGGTAGCTTCCAGTTCCTTTGAAAATATGCAGTCAATTAATTTCATGCAAATGCATTTGCTTAAAAGACTAGGATTAAAGCTGACTAGTATATCAATTAAAAAACAAGTGAGATCCTCCTCAAATTACTGCCAACTAGAGACTTAAGATTTTATTTCCCATCATTCACAATCAACATGGCTTAACAGTTGAAGTCAAATGTCCCAAACAATATCTCACTGCAGAAGATCTACACAACTTCTTAACAATGCCAAGAAACTCACATCCATGTTACTTTCTGTACCCTTCTGTATTTGTGTTTCTTTACTCATCAGTCTCCTGAGCAAGTCCTATCCTTTCTGTATTGGGGAGGATATGTTATCTATAAAATAAATTTTAACAAGTGGAGTGTTGGAATGTTTAAGTTTGGAAGAAGAAACATCATTAATCCACACTATGCTGCTGATGCTAAACTGATAGCTGAAAATGCAATGATTTGTGTGTGTGTGTGTGTGTGTGTGTGTGTGTATATAAATAAATAAAATTAGGTTTATATATATATAATTAGGTTTATATATATATATTATTTAGGTTTCTTCGGGTATTTTCCCATGTCATTACAGTTGTGCTTTTAAAGTTGTAGCGACATTTCGGCAGAATCTCATCTGCCATCATCAGGCTTCTGTATTGTGTTCATCTGTGAGTCCGACTTTTACAGACGAACACAATACAGAAGCCTGATGATGGCAGATGAGATTCTGCCGAAAGGTCGCTACAACTTTAAAAGCAAAACTATAATGACGTGGGAAAATACCCAAACAAAGCTGAATACTATACATGTAAGTACCCGCGAAAACTTAAGAATAGATAGATAGATAGATAGATAGATAGATAGATAGATAGATAGATAGAAATGAAAAAATAAATGGAACGAAGATTAAAGAAATCAAACTAGTATGTGGTCACTAAGAATCGACACTTATTGATGCCACTGAATCCTCAAGAAATTAGGAAGATCAATGTCATATTAGATTAGCTTGTTTACATATATACAGTACTCAGTTTAACTGAACCACAGTTTATTAACTTGATTACCTCAATTTACATAATAGGCAGAATTAACTAAAGTGGCTGCACATCAATCCATAAACCAGTGAAGAAAAGGCATCAAATTAAGGAATAAATAAACACTATGGGATTATCTACCTAAGTATTGCTCTATAAGCAATTACAAGGATGGGTTATTTCTACAAACAGATAATTATGCGATGTTGTAACTAATATTTATGATTTAAATAAAATGAAAAGACCTAGTGCAATCACACAGAGTGCTCCTATAGATGCAAAGTTATCCTTGATAATTTTCCTTTCAAATGAACAACACGCTTTATTAAACTGACAGATTTATTTTTTAGAGAGGGTATCTTAACAATGCCTAGATAAATGCCAACTTAAAAGCAACATGAAGATGCTGTAGAAAGAGCATCTCATATGACCACAGAAGCCTGGGGTAATCGTTGAGGATACTCACATTGGAATAGCAATGTAAGAGAACCAAATAAGCCCTTAACAGAAGTTACCTTCAGCGTTTGTGATAGCATTGTGGCTTTTCTAGTAACTTTAGGTGGGATTTGTGTAGCATTCTTAGCCTTCTCTCTAGTTCATGGTGTATGATTAAGGAAAAAGATATGATGTTTGAAAGATGAATTCCTGGTTTCAGAAATAGGGTAATATCAGAAATATGTTAATAATCTTGAGTCATCATATGAATTTGCTGTTATCTTCATAAAAATATGATCTCAAAAGAATTCAGATTAAAAAATGCTGAATTTCTGTATGGGTGATTTTGGCACTCCTTTCGGAGCACTAAATATACATGATTTACATTTTTGAGGTGGGACTTAATGTAAGTTTTCTTCAATTGTCCTAGAAATAATAAATTACTTTTTAGTTTTTTTGTAAAAAAAAAAAAGTATCCATCTACGTGCAATATAAAGGAGGATACAAAGGTACTATTTGGTCTCCAAATTTGCATTGTTCTCTTGTATTATTGAAAACTGTTCTTACATATAAACAGGTATTGGTCATTTCATTTGAATATGAAATACAATAAAGGAATTAAATGCTTTTTCTTCCCTAACAAAGAACAATTCTGTATATAACTTGGAAATGCAGGGGAGATGAATGCTTAGGGGTTAAATTTTAGATTTGTTCTATTGTTAACCAAGCCTATAACTGTATTGTAAATACAGTGGAAAATAAAGTAAGGATATATGATTCTTACAGCTTTTGAAGCAGAAAATGATAATAATCAAGCTCCCCCAACTAAATAATAATAATTTTAATTTATTAAAGTGAAGCATAACCCTCTCACTAATATGTTCTATTGCCAATAATATCTCGTTGATATTTAAAAATGAATATTTTGAGCAGCTGAGGCCAATTGCATTGTTTGGACCAATACTTATTTGTTCTGGAATAAGCCAAAGCTAAGTTGGGAGGAGCTTTTGATTGTGCAATATAGGAACTGTTCAGGATGAGTTGGGTTCAGGATGTTTCCTACAAAGGCAATGTTCCAATGCTCCAAATGGAAGGCAAAAGTTGACTTTGAAGGTCTCTGTTCCCACCACAGGAAAGAGCTATTCAATTGGTGCATCACAGGTGCTAGATGCAGTTTATTGGGACCCAGGGGAAATTTGAGACTATTCCTAAGTCTCTAATAAGTGGTTTGAGTGAGGTTGTAGTCACTGTCCGGAGTAAGGGGGTGTCAACCACCTGTGACCAGATAGCACATGTGTGCACCCTCAGCTCATGAAACTTCTCTAATGCTTCCTGAGATGAAGCAGCAGAAGAGATACCCCAAACACCACCTGAAGAGTGAATCCAATAGAACACATGTAACAGCCACGGTACTTTTCTGGGTCAGTTTTTGAGGGTTGAGAATAGGGGCAAAGTGTTGCAACAGTCTCCGTTCTTCAGTTGAGTTTCCAGGCGATTTTGATGGAGAAAAGAGATCTAGCCATAGACTGCAGATTTGCAGGGTTTCTTAAGGTTCTTCTCTCTCTGCTCCTATTTAATATACATGCAACCAGTAGGCAAGTCCAGCCATCAATATGAGGTTAAGTATCATCAACGTTGTATCTCTTCCCCAGCTGACATTTATTTTTCCAGTATCTGGAGGTTATAGATATCTGGATGGGGAGAAACACGTTTTGCTTAATCTAAACAAGACTGAGCGGCTCTGGGTTTTAGGCCCCATGGATCTGAAGACTTTCTCTATTTACTTCTAGATGAGATTCTATTCCCTTCAGACAGAACTGATGTGCAATCTGGCGGTGATTTTGAGTTGTGGCTCCTGTTAAAAGAAGAGGTGGCAGTAATGGTCAAAAGGACCTTTCTACAACTATATATTGTATGCCAGTAGAATCTCTTCCATGATCAGGAGGCTTTGCTCATGGTTGCCCATATTTTCATTACCTTCCACTTGGACTATTGCAACACTCAGCACATGGGGCTACCTTTGAATACCATCCAGAAGTTACAATTGGTCCAGAAGAAACTAATATGGATAAAGGCACCAATGTAACATTGCTATTACACTATTTCTGCAGGCTCTGGGTGCAATTCAAGGTACATATTATTACCTACAAAAACCATTATAGCACAAGGCCATGTTATTTGTGGGATCCCCTACCTAATACATGGGCAAACAACTGATACAAACTCAAGGTAAACCGCTCCAAACTCGACTGCAGAAAATACGACTTTAGTAACAGAGTGGTCAATGCCTGGAATGCCCTAGACCTCAAACTGTCTACCGTGGACATCACCCCATTCTTAAGAGGTCCTTAAAGGGGTGTGCATAAGCGCACCAGCATACCTACCGTCCCTGTCTTACTGTCCTCACCTGTATTTACTTCTTTTGTTCCTGTTTATGTTCATATTTATACTTGTTATCTTGAACATGTTTGACAAACAAATAAAAAAAAAGTTATGTCTGCCCATCCCATGAAGTCTGACAAACTAGGCATGCTTCAGGTCCTCTCCATGACACAATGCCATCTGACATGATTTCTCTGTTGTGGTGCCTGTCCTTTGGAACACATACTCCTCAAGATTCAGATGGCCCAACCCTGCTGACCTTCCACAAGGTGTTAAAAACTTCATATTTCCTCTGGGAACTCAGTTAAGAAATTAGATTAGCCCATCTGGAAATAAAATAATAAAATTGCATTATTTTAAAAGGATATAGATAAGCTGTCTCATATTCTAGTAAGCAGATTTGTTTTTGCAGATTCCTTATGTATTCAGCTTCAAATGAATTGATGGCATTCATCTCACTAAAAAGAAAGTGCAAACATACATTAATGTATCAGTAACCATTTTCATCTTTTTTGTATCAGGAAACCAATGAAGTTTTTTCAAAGCTTCCAAATGAATACTGCCTT